TGAACCTTATGGGAAAATTTCCTTCAGGTTGCGACCAATTCGGGGTGCGACCAGAGTCACGGAACGAATTAAGTTCGTACCCCGAGGTTCCACTGTACTTTTATACTTCACATAAGCCACCCATCCTCTCCCAAAAGCATGAGTTATGCAACCTTTATTGCTAAGTAGTGCTGCAACTAGGAAGGAAATAATGAAGCATGCCCTCCTTGAATTTGTGGTTCCACTCCAGATCAGCTCTCCTCTTAACAGTTCCTTCTGAGTAAAAATAAAGCAGCCCCTCCATACGCTACAAATTATAATGATATTTATATTTATAATGATAATTAGAAATCATGTATTCAGTTTGAAGTTAACTATGAAATCCAAAAACCTTCCATAGACAATATGCAGGACATACTGGGCCCATTTTCCCTACCCCCAGGGCAAAAAATTACTGCCTAGGTTTCACTATCATGTGGATTCTCTAAAGCAGGAGGATCTTTTTCTCATACTGTAATTCATCCCTTGGGACTTTCCACAGATAAGTGAGTCCGTAGCCAAGCTGGACTCTTAGAGATTACATACCAGGATCTTGGGAAGGGATTTCATAGGTTCCTTGTCCTTGGGCATGATCCGAATGTAGAATATTGCTGGAAAGATGAATATCAGGCAGGGAGCTGAGGTGGCACCTGGGAGAGCCCAACAGAGAACAGGTTTAGGATCTTCAGAAAATGAAAATACTCTGCCATCCCTTTGCTTTTCTCCACTAATATATTTTGGGGAAAACAGGACAAGCTATGGCAACAGGGCCTCCAGTTTTGCCCCCCATCCCTAGCAGAGTCCAGACAAACTACTGATTTTCCTCTTAGGACGGTATTTGAGTTTAAAATCAGAGGGGAAAAAAAGCAACTGATGAGTGGCTAGAAGCAAAAACAACAAAAAAGGGCCCTTTGGAAGTACATGGCAAACAAGCATGTTTAGTAAGATGGCCTTGATCCTGGAAAAACAGAGCATTGAGGCCACTAGTTCAAGGAGTCCCACTGACGCTCTCATAGAAGGGTGGAATAATTATTGTCCCAATGCAACTTCCATAATTAGGAGCTTGTTTACTTACGGAAGAGCTTTGACTCTCCCTTGTGTGTTAGAAATGTTTTTGAGAAACATTTTTTCAAAATATACATGATTTTATCCATATCCATAAACAATATCCACAGTGGGTATTATGCCAGAATGCAGAATCGATTTTACATAAAGGTAGTAGTTTGACATCAGTCACTTCCTTAAATATTCTTTTTTCTGTTTCTTTTTTCTTTCTTTCTCTATTTTCTTTTTCTTTTTGCAATTTGTATTTCTTTTCTTTCTATTCTCTTTTTTCTTTCTGATATTAGTTTGTATTATCTTCTAGTATTGTTAAAATCCTTAATAAAAAGTTTTTTTTTTTTAAAAAAAAGATGCATGGAATGCAAAACTTACCAATCAAGCCAAAGATCCCCAAGATGGAGGGAGCAAAAATAACAAGCAAATTAATAGATTTCAGCAGCACAAAAGCAATTATAATGTGCCGAACCCAGCTGAAATCCTTGTCTGGAAAGAGCATCTGCTGGATTGCACGGCGCACCTGAAGAAAGGGAAACTAGTCAGATTCTCCTTTTAGTAACAGCGCCAAATTCTTCATTGCACATATTTTAGGTCTGTCTCGACTCGACTTCCACATCATCACAACTACTTGAGTTTATCCCTTTGCCCAACTGAATAGTCTTCTGACCTAATGGCTTAATTTTTGACTCCAGTTCCCATTTCTAATTTGGTGGACTATGACAGCCAGCTCTCAATCACACAACCAATCTCAGTGAGCTAATCCAGGTTTCTAATGTACAAGGAAGACAAATACATAATGTCAGCACTATGGTTGCTGCTGGGAATTTGCTCTGCATAGATCTTGTTCTCTGAGGCTACTTGAGTGAAGTGCAAACAAATTTGGTGCAAGTCACAGGAGGCTGCATTAGTCAAGAACTGCTAAATCTGCAAAATTGTTTCCTAGTTCTCCAGATCTGGAAGTGAATATGACACTGGTATGGTGTGCAATTTGACAGTTGTACCACTGCACTCATGAGATATGAATGGCCTGTTTCTCTCCCTTAATTGTCTACTAGTGCTTAGGTCTTGTCTACTGTTCTCCACTGCTTGCATCTATAGCAGCAGTGCTATAGTTTTGAACTAAACCACAATGACCTTACTGGTTTACAGCCTAGGCTGTCTTGATATTTATTCCTTTTTTCAATTATGCAAAATAGATATCAAGAATTCACACAAGATAGGAATTCGATTTTAGATCGAGATTCCAGTTTAAGAAACACACACTCTAAATTTACTCTCTTTCTGTCAGTTTGTTGACAGCAGAACTCACCGGGAAGAGAACAATGGGCACCGTTAGTGTCACAGCAGTCAACACAGCTACCCGCACACACAGGATCAGCACATCAAATGAGTCTACTCTGCTGTAGGTGTGCAGCAGTTCTGATTCTACCCGCCCTGTAGAAGGCAGCGAAGAATACCATAGCAGCATTGATCAGGCCAGATAGATAACAAGGACTTTTTTTGTATCCCCAAACTGTTCCTTAGAATTGAAGTCTGCATAGGTGTTTGTTGTTCTGGAGGCTGCAATCATATGGCTGGTAAAATGGGTAACTTCTTAAAATGCTAATTACAGTATTCCCAAATGAACATGCAAGTAATTATATTGCACAAAAGGGAAACTGGATGTACTATTGTATCTTTGTGCAGGATACAATGCAAGGATTCAGCATTCTTGTTTGGAGGTTCTCTAATGAAATGCATGAGACATGCCAGTCCAAAGCACAGCTGAGAACACAAGCATTGCAAAATGTGAAAGGATCTCTGCTGTGGGTGCTGTACAGTTCATTAGTGAGTTGGGCATCAAAAATACATGGAGCTGCCTGCAGTTGCATTCCAATGGTTAGTCCCTGAGGAATAAGGCTGTAGCGTTAAAAAGACAGCACTTTCTGCCCTCAGTATCTACCTTTTCTCCATTTAAGTATGAAGCACAGGTGCAGCCTTTCTGTTAGTTTGAAGGCTTCTCCAGTCTTTGTATAGTATGTTGGTAGCCATCTTCCAAAAGTTGCAAGGGGGGGAGGGTTAAGAGATCAAATGGATGCCTGAAATCTCTGCAAAGCTTAATATACACCCTCACAAAAAATCCCCCCCCCGCAAAACCCCAAAATAGGGCCAAATTCTGGGAGTCACAAAAGGGATACTGATGGGCTGCGTGTGGTCCTCAGAGCACAGATGTACTCCTAGTGTAATGGAAAAGAACTTACCATAGAATGTGAGATAGCCAAATAGGGCAGCCAGGAAGTACATAATGTACATGACTGTGATGGAAATGTTGGAGATACACTGCATCTTCTTCTTGGATGGGCTAAAAGACATACAAAATCACAGTGAGAAGGATTTAGAACTTTAAAAAAGTTATTAACTTATGTTCATCATCCTGTGATTTTAGTTTATGAAAAGCAGTACATCATTATCATTTGAATTTCTTTCTTACCTTGCTATTACTTAAAAGTACAAATCCTTGATGAAACTCAACTACTTTTAATTTTTTTTTTTAACCCTGAACATTCATCCTGCAAAATCACATTAAATGACAGGCTGCAGCAGTTTAGATGGCATGAATTTCACCTGTCTGTCATAAGTGAGGAATGGGGGGCAACTTTTTGCTGAAAACCCTAAAAAGAGAAAGACCGAATGGCTTTTAAATTAAAATAAACCATGCTACCAAATTCTAGTGGAAAACTATAGCACTAATTCTCAGGAGGGCAATTCTAATAGATCACAAAATGCAAGTTCACCTTTTGATTACCAGGTATCATATGCATTCCTGAATCAGTATCTGTCCTCTTGCCTACTGAGAATCAGTGTGTTGGAATGGCAGAAAAGACACATTTGCTCAGCAGAACCAGCCACTTTGGCCTTTTGTGCTTAGAGCTGCCCAGAATGTTCCATAGGTGATGTGCAGAAAATGTGTGTGTGCATGAGAAAGAAAAAGAACTAATGTCTTAAAACAGCACCTTTATATTCATCCTATAGATTCAGCATCCTGTCCCCCATGCTGTTTCTTCACTTGCAACACTACTGCAGTGATGCCAGAGAGAGGTATTATTAACTTATATAAGTACTTACTTTTTCAACTCAGTGTAGATAGGAAGGACCTCAGGATGACATACAAAAGCAAATGCCATGATAGGAATAGTGTAGGCTGTCTGCAAAATTAAAAGAGAGAAGAGATGTTGGGGAAAACTTCTGTCCACAAGAGTGATGCTGTTGTAAGTGCTCAACTATACCCATGCAAAGAGACTGCACACACACACAAAATACTAACAAAGATTAGCAGCTCTTATTAATTGAAGAAGTGCAGACAAATCTTCTTGACAGAGTTGTGTTTCCCAGATTATTTGAGTCCCAGTCTAGGTGTGTTCTTGTGGCCATTCTTCCATTCACCTCATTGGACAGTGGTAATCACTAAAGGATGGTTATGCCACTTCAATCCTGAGCTTCTTTCAGGTCTTCCTTTAGGTCTTTACCTACTTTATCTTTCATCTGTTTCATTCCTCACTGTTACCTTGTCTTTTTGGCTATAAGGTTCTTATCCTCAACATTGTTTCCCTATCTTTGTAAGCTCCCTCCTTCCTCTCCCCTACCCCAAGCCCACTTTTTCACTCTTTCATAAATAATCATGTCTACATATATTCCTACTCTTTCTACATATCAATTCCTTCTCCTTCCACCACTGTCATTCCATAGTTTAGATCAGGGTTTCTTAACTTTGGCAGCCTTAAGCTGTGTGGACTTCAGTTCCCAGAATTCCCCAGCCAGAATGCTGGTTGGGGAATTCTGGGAGTTGAAGTTGACACAGCTTAAAGCTGCCAAGGTTGAGAAACGCTGGTTTAGATCAACATAAGCCCCCAGCTAGCATGTCCATCTGGAGAGCTTCGGACTGGAGAAGATTGGCTTATATTATTTTTATCATGCTGGCTCTAGAACAACCATTAACATTTAATAATAAAAGGTCAGCAATAACAGTAAACATTTGATGCAATTAACTGGTTCTGATAACCCTTCTTGAATCTGGACACTCTCCTGATATTTAGACCAAAACTTCCACAGCCAGCATTACCACTGCTGAAAATTCACACATATGGATGGCACCTAGATTGGAGAAGGATATATTATTAATCATTGCTGGCTTCATCATGAATCCACTCATCTGACCTGAGAGTTGAGCATGAACAAGTTTGAAGAGCAGACGTCTTCCTCTGTAGCCTGGATTGTAGTATGTTCATTTTGATAGCTGCTCGTGCTAACCAAGGTATAATTCAGGTTGCCTGTGGTGTTGATCCGCTCAGGAAGTGGACAAGGAATCTGGAACTTTTTGTAAATGACCTGAGGAGGGAATAAAACTCCATGAGTACAGGTCGCACCTGCTTGATGATACATAGTCATCAAGACAAGGATCTTTACTTACCTGTTTCACATAGTTTAACCATATTTTCATTGGATGACCTCAATATTAGGCAAGAAATCAGCTATGTTGGATAGCCTCACGTTATCTGAGGAAAGAATGGCTAATGTTTGTGTAAGAGCTGGTGATTGGTGACCTTAAATATCAATGTACTTCATGGCATGGGGTCAGGTTATTTGCAGGACTGCCTGTATCCAATGATTTCTGTTTGTCCCATGAGATCTAGCACAGCAGGCATGCTTTGGGTGCCTGCTATGAAATAGTGTCTTCTAGCGGGACCCAAGAGGTATGCCTTCTCCGTCACAGCATCTGCCCTGTGGAACATTCCCCCCAAGGTTTGGATGGCCCTGACCCTTTTGTTCTTCTGTAAAACCTTAAAAACTTGTTTCTTTCCGTGGGCATTAGCCCAGAACATGGGATGAGCCCATACAGAATGGAAGTTCTTGATTGACATATGTGTGGGTTGGTCTTGGTTAATTATGTTCTTATTGTTATTTATGTTATTCCATCACCCTATTTTTTTCTTTTTATCCAGTTCTGAATATTTATTACATTGTATTTTATTCTATTTTTAATTCTGTGTTTTCAAGTTTCTGCAAATTGTAAGTCACCTAGTATCTTTCAGTAAATTAGACTGCTATATAAAACAAACGAACAAGTGTCCAAAGCCTTTGCCAGAAACTCTACTCCAACTGACCACGATGGTTTTTTAAAAAGATTATTGTAAAAAAAAAAGAATAAGTGACAATAACAACTACTACTGTTATAATCCCCCTCTCCTTTCAAGCCCTTAGAATTGCCCACAACCCAGTACTTCATGTGGAAAGACGCTTACCTATCCAGCAAAGCAGGTAGTAGGGAGTTCTTTGATAATTAAAAGAAATAGAGGAGGAGGAGGAGGAGGAGGAGGAGGAGGAGGAGGAGGAGTATCTCACCAGTTTGCCTTCTGATAAACAAGCAGTTGAAGACTGGCCATGCCTACCATAGCCATTCTGTGAACAGGCAAGCCCATCTCCAAGATGGTCATTTTGTAAATACATCTAAAGAAGCTCTCAAAATATCAAATGCCCAAAAATGGTGCCCAAAGCAACCTATGGTAGGAAGATGACAGGAAACTAGGGAGCATCTGATTCAGGTTACATCATTCGTAGAATAAAAAAGTGAACGTGTTTCTGAGTGGCTGAATGGAGATGGAATAGAACTAGAAATGACCTTGTAGTAGGATAGGTTTCTCCAAAGTAATGCCCTTCTTATGCGTTGGGCCACCTCCCACAATTCTCTTTAGCTATTCTGGGGGTGACTGCAGTAGGGCACGTCAGCCAGTCAAAGAGGTCCCACACAAAAGTGCACATGCCAGAGACATAATATGCTAATGCTATAAACATGATCTCTTCAGATTTTATGGATCACAATTCTCATATTCCCTTGCCACTGTCCTTGCTGACTAGAGTTGGCAGAAGTTAAAAAATATCTGGAAGGTATCAATTTGCCTACTGCTGCTATAACTTTATTTGAGAAACCTGAGAACTACACTTTCCACTGGAATACCCACGTTCATGTTCACTCACGTATTTTTATATTAGAAAAGTTTAATAACTGAGTTCTAAACATTGTACATACAGTCTACTTTCCTAATTCATATTTCTCAAATCTATCTTGTGATTTCCAAACCCACTTTATGATTTGAATGATTTGACTTTAAACTAATACAAAGATGGCAATACAAATTTACATCCTAAGCATGTGAGCTCTGGTAAATAAATGTTCCTTGCACATTAGTGCAAAATTCTATTATTTATTTTTTTAAAAAAATTATACTGTGCTTTTTAAAATAAACTAAACTTAAAGCAGGTTCCAGAAAAAACAATAAAACACAATAAAACTACTCACATTACAATTTGAAAATCAGTTGCAAATTGCTAAATTCATTCATTATTATCAAAAACAGGGTAAAATAATGGAACTTAAAACCAGGGAGACAACATTAACCCATGCAAAACCCCAAGGAGTAGCTTGCCTGAATCATCAAGCAATATGGTAAATTAAATGTCTCCAGGTAGGAGGTATCACAGTGGAACTTCATACCCCATGCCAGCATGAAGCTTGTAAAACATGCTAAGCTTGGACAGCATGACATGTCAGCAATCTATACCCTAAAAGAGATTCACTTATATAGCTTCCTAAAGGTATTCTACCATAAAGCCATTGGGTTGCAACTTTTTAAAACAAGGAGTACAAGTAGCACAGATGCTCCAGTGATAATTGCGCTACTGCTATTTTTTGCAAGAGATCACAGCTATGAATATTTATAGGACTGAAGTGTTAGAAAAAGCCAAGCCTTAGAGATTGTCCTTATTATAATCCAGGGCAAAAGTTACAATTTGATTAGGTATGAATGTCTTCAGTACAGCAATTCATATAGGATCAACTGGCTGATTTAAACTAAGAACCACTCCTGACTTGAAAACTTCTGATAGTTTGAAAGAGAGTAAAAGATATCACCTTCCCCATAGTAGATACTTTGAGGTTGTGTTTGATTAGTATGCACGCTAACATCTCTATGAGGTCTCTGGCACTATTTCCTGTCTTCTCCTGTTATCCCTAACAATAGTACAAAGCTCCTTCTCCCAGAAATAGATCAGTGTTTCTGACAAGGGAGTGAGAATGCAGTGATGCATCTTTCAATGGCTGGAGGGAAATTGCTTGTGAGCTATTTATTGTGACAGTCAAGCTGCACTTGAGAAAGTGGTACCATCCAATTTTAGCAATGGCAGGAAATACAAAATCCTCCACCTTGGCCAGATGTCTCAAAAAGAAAAAGATTTAGGACCAGATTCAGAGCCTGGATACATCTGGTTTGAGGGAGGCAGAATCTAGCAGAAAGAATTACATGCAAGTAAAGATGCTTTCATAGTGAGTCAATGCCCTGAAGTATTGTTCCCATAGAAGCTAAGAGGAAATATCTCCCAAGAACACTCTTTTAAAATTTGATTCAATTTTTATTTGGACCTTCTCCAAGGTGCAATTGGCACCAAACATACTTTTCTTTCCTTGGCCGTCTGCCTACTTTATTTTTATAAGATCCTTGTAAAATAGGCTAGGCTGAGATATACTAGTATTTTGGTGAACAACAAATGAACAAAGCTCTTAAAAGGAAGATTTTTAAAACTAGGGAAAAAGGAAAGACCGCAAATAAACCCTTGAAAATGTCCAGGCATGAAAGATTTTTGGTTAGATTTTCAGGTAATTCAGAGTTACCAAATTTCCTGAGTCTGGTGCCTTTGTGATGTCTTAGCTACAAATCTTATTATCTCTGACCATAGGTTGGGACAGATTAAAAATTGTAGTTCAAAACATCTGCACCATTGTATTAGGACAGAAAAGACTTGCATTAAAGTTTCCATGGAGCCATAAAGCTTAGAATGACTTTTTCTATTTCTTAATCTAATCCTTCTCACTGGGTTGCTATGTGAATAAAGGAAACAGGAAAAAGTATTTGCCACTCTTAAAGGATGGGCAGAATAGAAATATATTTACAGGTAGTCCTCACTTAATGACCACTCATTCAGCAACCATTCAAACTTATGACAGTGCTGAATGAGTAGTACTTATCACCGGTCTCATAGTTGTGACCAACACAGTGTCCCCACATTCATGTGATTGTGATCCAGTGCTCGGCGGCTGGCTCACAATTTCACGTGATCACCATTTGTGACTTTCTCTGCCAGCTTCTGGCAAGCAAAGTCAATGGGGAAGCTGGCAAGAGGTCACAAATGGTGACCATGTGATGTTGCACTTAATGACGGCGCGGGATTCACTTAACAACAGCAAACAGAAGTGCCGGAACTGCTGTCGCTTAAGCAGCACAGTCGCATGACATTGTGCTTTATGACCTAGCACTTAGCAATGGAAATTCCAGTCCCAATTACCATTATTAAGTGAGAACTACCTGTAGTTACTAATTAAGACTTCCATCTTATGCTCATTTTCTTGCAAATAGGCCGTGTACAGTAGAACTTAATGGATCAAACTTCTGAATAGACATGAAGAGGATTGTATCATAAATAAATCTTACACAGAGTTAAAAAAGACTTTTTAACACATGCAATGAATCATCATTCAAAACTCACTGAAATAAGGAAGAAGACCATGCAGCTGAGAGAAAACCCACTGGCATAACCAAGATAACCTGGAACAAGAAAAAACAAAAAGTAGCAAGGGATTTGTAATGTCCCTCAAAAGTATTTCTTTCTTTTCTAGGCTTCTATGTTCTGCTAAATTTCTATCTTGACAAATATCTTCCTTCCTTCCTTCCTTCCTTCCTTCCTTCCTTCCTTCCTTCCTTCCTTCCTTCCTTCCTTCCTTCCTTCTCTCTTGCCTCTCTCTCTCTCTTTCATTATTATTGTCTATAAAGAGGTCTAGTTATTAGAAAGTTTTGAAGCACATGTTCCTGAAAGCATTTTGCTCTCAAGGAATACAGTGCTTTGGGTTTTCCACTTTGCAGAGTCAGCTGAAGATTCTCCAGTTCTAAATTACACTTTGATCATCAGTCCTGCAGACACAATAGCCTGAAGAGGAACATTTCAGTGGATATGGTATTTGGGATGATTTGCATACTTTTTAGAAAGACTTGGCAAAACAAAAGCCCCTGTTCCCATATACTCAGCAATGTGGATGCCCCTTTGCCTGCTAATCCCATCTTTCTCTGCATAGTCACTGAGCAAGGGACACTCATCCTCATAAATGGGAGATAAGGAACTTAAGGAAAACTTACCAAGTTGTTTCATGAGGGCCAGGGGAAGGATAATGGTGATCGTGACCAGGATTACCAGGTAATTTCCATTTAGATACCAGTCCCTGGAATGACACAGCCAAAATTACATCATCTGTAGCCACCTGATCTTTGAGTACCGTGCTATGAGGTATCTCTACAAACTAAATGCAGCCAAAGCAAAGAAGCAGACAGGTAGAAAAATTAATTTGATTAAATAATTTTAATGCATTAAATACAGCTAAAATGACGATTCCTTATTGTCATGTTAAAACATTTAGCAATAATTTATGTAGGATCTTGGGGGGAGGCACATGTTCCCCTTGTGCTTTAGGCTCTTTTCTGGAATCATACAGTGGGATTAGATGTCTCTGTGACTAGTAGACTTTGGCTGCAAATACTCTGAGACAGTAATCTTCATGTATGGATCTAGTCAGTCAGACCACTGTTTTATCTAGAATAAAATTACCAATCAACTCTTAATTTAGGCTGAGTTTTGCCATCTCAGTTTGGAGAAACAAGACTGAACCTTGAACCTTTTGCACGCAATGTATGAGCTCAGCCACTGAATCATGGTACTTCCTATCTTTCTGAAAGGGCTGGTCTGTCTGTCTGACTGTCTGTCTGTCTGTCTGTCCTATCTATCTATCTATCTATCTATCTATCTATCTATCTATCTATCTATCTATCTATCTATCTATCTATCTATC